AACATGGAGAGAGTCTCTCTCTTCCATCAAGATCTCAGTTTGGTTGGGTAGACTATGGTAATCTCTGACACACATCTGCTCTGTCTTGAAAATGAAAACAAGATAAGTGGCTGGGAAATCACAATTAAGGAAGAAAAAATAAAACATCACCATTTTATAGTTATTTCTTAATTACTGTCTCAGGTTTGCTGCTTTCTCTTATGTACAGTACACTGCAAAGTTGTTTTTTTTTTTTTTTTGAGACAGAGTCTCACTCTCTTGCCTAGGCTAGAGTGCCGTGGTGTCAGCCTAACTCACAGCTCACAGCAACCTCAAACTCCTGGGCTCAAGCAATCCTTCTGCCTCAGCCTCCCGGGTAGCTGGGACTACAGGCATGCGCCACCATGCCTGGCTAATTTTTTTTTTTTTTTCTATTTTTACTTGTTTGGCTAATTTCTTTCTATTTATTGTAGAGACGGGGTCTTGCTCTTGCTCAGGCTGGTCTCGAACTCCTGAGCTCAAGCAATCATCCTGCCTCGGCCTCCCAGAGTGCTAAGATTACAGGCATGAGCCACCACACCCGGGGCAACTGCATAGTTTTAAAGAGCTGAAGGAGCATCTTTTGTGTAAAAAATTTAAAAAATCAGCACTGGGTCCATGAAATGGGTGGATATGGGGATACTGCAGCAGTGCAGAGATGAGCTGAATCTCGACACATTATTTTTGCACTCTCTCAGGCACAATGTGCCATTAAGAACTGTTCTGTTTGCCAGCAAAAGAGACAGAGACTGCCTTAGGCTATGGGACAGATTCCCTGGTGGGAAGGCCCTGAACACAGCTGGCAAGTAAGGCTGGTGCTGGTAGCCCTGGGGGGCTACAAATGGGTCTTGACAGGAATAGACACTGACTGTGGAGTGGGTTTTGCTTACCCAGTGAAAGATACAAATGTCCAGGGTGCCAGAAAAAAAAAGAACAGAAGATACTGCATGAATTTGGATGGCTGACTGCCATTTCTTCAGACCAAGGAACACACTGTGCAGCTCATAATATCCAACAATCGAAAGAGATATCCTCCTCAAAATAATAGCTTGATAGAGAAGTGGAAAGGGCAATTAAAACACTGGTTGTCTAAAACAGGGGGAGATAAAAGCGTGAAGAGCTGGCCTACATACCTTCATGAGTGTGTGCTCACACTTAGCATGAATGGGACTAAAGGAGTGTCCCTACTAGATTTTTTTGTTTTTCTGGTTGATCTGTGGAAGAGGGGATGGGGAGGATCCTGGTATGATTATGCAGTTCTTGCCAAGGGAGAAGTAGACTGGTATAATGACGATATTTTTTCTTTAGTCTCCAAATCACATCAAAAATTTTTTTTTCCCCTACCTGATGCAGTAGTCCTAGGACCAGGAAATGCTGGAAGCAGGGATGATTTCTAAGCAAGAAACTCTAACTATGTTTTTAAACATCATGTCAGAATTCCTAAGGACCTGATGAGATGGATTGTATCTTCATCACACCTGGCAAAATTGGGGCTAAGAGCCAATACAGTGAAGCTATATTGCCTAGTGGTAAAATCGGCTTAACCCTACCCTATATGAATGGAAAGGGACTGAGGGTGAGACACTAGACTAGTACTGCTGCCAGCAATCTGGACCGGCACAGTGGCTGAACCATATCTATGTTTTAATATGTATGTATGTACGTATTTGTTTGTTTGAGACAGGGTTTCCGCTCTGTTGCCCAGGCTGGAGTGCAGTGGTACAATCATAGCTCACTGCAGCCTCGAACTCTTGGGCTCAAGCAATCCTCCTGAGTGAGTGGCTGGGACTACAGGTGTGCACCATCGTGCATGGCTAATTAAAAAAATATTTTTTTGTAGAGACAGCATCTCACTATGTTGCCCAGGCTGGTCTCAAACTCCTGGCCTCAAGCCATCCTCCTTGCTCGGGCTCCCAAACTGCTGGGATTACATGTAGGAGCCACTGTGCAGGCCTAACGTCCTTCCCAAAGGTGAAAAAGTTTGGGTAAAGTAAATTACATTAACAACTCAAAAGAGCCTCAGAGCAAGAGATGAGATTGTGTTTTAGCTTAATTATTCCAGATACCTGAAAGGGTGAAGCTATATGTTTGCTGAGATCACTCACGTTTTTAGAAACTGACATGATTACTTATGCAATATGACGATGGACTAGACTAATTATTACTGATTGAATGGGATTCAGTATCTTTTGAATTATAGATTCTTTTGCTGTAATGGATGTGTGTTTGAAAACCAGGGATGGCCTCAGGTATTGTTTTATATATATTGGTTTTCTTTCTTAGTTAGTTAACTCCTATAGTCCTTGTTACAGTCTTTTGTTATAATGTTGGGTATATTAGGCCTCAGGAAACAGAATCTCTCTGACTTTCACCTGCCCCCAGGCAGGACTCTAATCTTCCCCCACCTTTCTAATTATGGGTCCTAAAACCCTCATTCCAGAGAGAGTCCCACCCAATACCCTGAAGGCTAATCACATTTCCATGAGGTCCTCCACAAAAACCCAAGAGAACTGAGCTCAGAGAGCTGAACACAAGATTTCCGGAGGGTGGTACACTCTGGGAGGGCCTGGAAGCTCCTCGCCTCTTTCCCCGTATCTTACCCATACCTTGCCCTAGGAGCATCTCTTCATCTGTATCTTTTGTAATATCCTTTGTAATGTCTGGTAAATGTAAAAAAATAGATAACTAAATATTGGTATCTTATCATTAGGAGTGACACTCACTCATTAGGAGTGAGAGTCCAACATCTCACTTGTTTCATTAATGGTTCTAATATTTAGCAGGGTCTGTTACGTAAGTAAATCAGGCTTTTCGGTATTATACCTTGATCACAATTGGTCCTTGGATTTTTTCCCAAAACAGATTCCTCATCCTCTCTTTTGCTTCAAAGTTTACTTTGCTTCTTATAACAAGTGCTACGCTCAACACTCCAAAATAATCTTTTATCTTAACACATAGCATTCTTTTTCTCATTGCTTTTTTTATGCATTTTCCATAAAGCTGACTAATACTGAAAAAGAGATGAGTATTGCTACCCATAAAACTATTCTCTATCTTTAGAAGCATTTTTCTTAGAACAAATATATTACTAGGCATTGATGGCGAGAGACTTTCAAATGCTCAATTCACCCAGAGGAACTGAGATAACAAAATTTTCACTTTGTACTCCCACCAACAAAGTTTCTTTCATTTCAGACCAACTCTCCAAGTGTACTACTCTCACAGGGTAATCCTGTCTTTTAGTTGTGGTGATGCCACAACTGCTAGGCCACTTGTATTAAGTCCAGGGTAACTGAGAAAAGCTTACTCAAATTTCTCTCAGCAACAGCCCTTATTCTCCAGTCCCACCTCCCCCAAACCCAGCTTGCAGTGACCAATTGCATCTTTCCTGCCCAACTGATTCCTTCTTTGGTGTCGACACAGTTTCTACTTCATTCTTCTCTGAAAATCAAAATTGTTTTGGGGTTTCTGATGAGGACTTATCTTACTTCTTTCCATATCTCAAATGCCTATGCAGAAGAACAGAATAGGCACTGATTAGAAATTTACTATTAGACAAATCTTTTTTTTTTTTTTTGGAGACAGAGTCTCACTCTGTTGCCCTGGCTAGAGTGCTGTGGTGTCAGCCTAGCTCACGGCAACCTCAAACTCCTGGGCTTAAGCAATCCTTCTGCCTCAGCCTCCCGAGTAGCTAGGACTACAGGCATGTGCCACCATGCCCGGCTAATTTTTTCTATATATTTTTAGTTGTCCAGATAATTTCTTTCTACTTTTTAGTAGAGATGGGGTCTCGTTCTTGCTCAGGCTGGTCTCAAACTCCTGACCTCAAGCGATCCTCCCGCCTTGGCCTTCCAGAGTGCTAGGATTACAGGCATGAGCCACCACGCATGGCCCAATTAGACAAACCTTAACACCCACTCAACCGAAGGGTCTTAGAAATTTGTTCTGCACCATTTTATTCAAAGTACACTAAAGCCCTGCACACTCAAGGGTGGGAGCTAAATGCATACTCTTGCCCTAAAGTGGGCCAGTCTCTGGGATGCACAGGTATTCCCCAACCAGTGGGGGCATTCTGCCTCTCAAATGATTCTGCCTCTAGCAGCAGCAGGAGTTAGAGGTAATTATGTCTTGGTCTAGCTGAGGTTGTAAGCTCATTCCAAAATCTGCCCTGCTCACTCAGAGCCCGGATACCACTGGCCTCCTAGGTCAGTAGGCAGCATCCAATGTTTGAAATAAACCATTCCAGGTTTTTGACTCTGCTTCCCTGCCAGTGTCAGCCAGAGGAACTCTTGTCCCTGCTCTGGCCCTGGCTGGTCCTGGTTCCACTCTGGCTCATTTGCTTAAATACCTTACCTGGGATAGCTCATGTTTAGTGTGTGCCTCCAGCCTGTGCTTACCAAGGAAATGCCCCCAGAACAGCTTTACCTATTCCTGCCCATCAGTCCCTGGTTGAGCATTGGCACTGTAAATACCTGCTCAGTAGAATCTTCAAACCTTTAGGTCTCAGCCTTCTCAAGTTCCTGGGTTCCTAAAGGCCTTTTTCACCAAAAGTGGGAGCAGCTTTGCCCAAAAAGGGCAATCTGCCTCCTTGTGGCTGCACTGGTATAAGACTTCTCGGTTTTTGCCTGAACCAGCTCATAGGCCAGAAGCCGTGGGATGAAAAGTATACTAGAGAAATTCTCCAAATTCGAACTTTTATTGGCGTCTGTGTTCCTTCACTCCTAGTACCTATTTTGAGCCTTCCCTACCTACGTTAGTGATCTCACTGAAAAAGACACAAACCTAGAGGAGTTGCAGGGTCCTATGGCTCTCAGGGGGCAGAGAGCCACCTCTAAACAGAGCTGAACAAAATTATCTCCCTCCCAATATTGCTAAGTAAGGAAAATTCTTCAAATTCACGTTTAAGGCCATAAACCGACAGAGATAAAATGGAACGCACAGGAAAGAATAACAGAGCTCCAATAACGTGCATTTCTCCCCAGCCCAAGTGGCTGATGGAGGACCCACTGCACCTCGGTGTGATGCATGAGGGCTGTTCACTGGCGATGCGAAGCATTTCAGGTTCCCCCGAGGATGGGCCTGGGTTACCGGCCCCCCCGGCCTCCACACAGACTGGGTAAAACGTCCCTCCTCAGGAGACATTCCTGGGGAGTCCAGACCTCACTTGGCGGCCGACTCCCGCGGGTGTCTAGGGTTTTCCACCCTATCTCGGGGTTAAATCAAGGCACCAGAAGAGGCGGCCCCCCAGTCTGGGTCCCCGAGCCCTAGCCCGGTCCAAGTGAAGACGGCGCTCCAAGGCCACTCACCACGCAGCTCCGGCGACTCAGCCGGCGGGCGCGTCCAGGCCTGGGGTCATTGCCGCTGACTCCTCCCTCTGCGCATCTCCGCTTCCCGGGCTTAGGTGCTACAGCCCAGAACAAGCGAGAGGAAGGCTCCGGTCTGCTTCCTCCGCCGCAGCCGCGCGCTTCCGGCGGGGTGGCCGCCACTTCCGCCCGGGTCCGCCGGTGCCGCGCAAGCAGGGACCTCGGGAAGCGCCGGGTGCGCGGCCGGGTGGGCACTGCTGTCCCCGGCTTCAACGCAGCCCGCTGCTGCTGCCGCCGCCGCCTCCGCCGCCGCCGCCGAGACCCCTCTCAGAAGGCGGCCCGGGCCGGCGCCTGTGGCGCGCCGCCCTCATCGCCTTCATCCCTGCCGGCCAAGCCGGCTTTGGCGACCTGACCCCCGTGTGGTGTCGAACTCGGTTAGTCCGGTGAAGGGACGGAGAAGCCTCGGTCCCGGTGGCATCACTTAGATGCTAAGTCCTGAATTCTGCCCTCCATTGGACTATCTGCTTTGTGGGATAATTTCCTCGTTGGTTGAGTCAGTGAGTTGTGTGTTTGCAGAGAGCATCCTATCTGGTGGGTCTTCATCTAGATCTTGCACATTCTAATTAAGTTCCTCCTAAGGATATCTTGCAGATAAAGAAGCTAAGCTCCAAATAAGTGAAAAGCAGTGGAAACAGAAGATAGCAATATAAAGAGAAAAATTAAACCAGATAGCCTGACTTCCACTCTATTGTTAATTGATTGGAGGACATTTTAAACATTTAGAAAGAAAAGAAACACAGGTTTCTGTTGACACATCTCAAAACAAAATGGATGTAACACCTTTAAAATGTAAACTATTTTACTTGGATGTATTCGTATTAGTCTGAAGTCATTTAAAATAATGGCGTGAAATGTTGCCAGGTGTTGGACTAGCAGTTTCTATAAGGGCCAATAGTCAAACAAAGGCATAGTGAGGAAATATATAGTAAGGAAAAAAGAGAGAAAGAATGTATAGTATTTGCTATGCACAAAATACCACTTTAAGCTCTTTAAATATATTAACTCATCTAATCCTCACGACAGCCCTATGAAGTGTATATACTGTTATTACCCCTGTTTCACAAAGAAGGCAAATGAGGCCCACAGGAGTTAAGCAGCTGGCCCAAGGTTACACAGTAAGTGGCAAAACCTTTGCTTGAACATAAGCACTCTGGTTCTGGAGTTTATGCTTCTGATTAGCACACTATATTGCCTGTAAAGGGAGGGTAAGACTTAAATCAGTTGGATTTGATGCTACCAAATGAGAATAGACAAGGTGTTTACAGGATCATTATTCTTCCGTTTCTATGTAGAGGATGTGAAGGCATGGGCTAGAATGTTTCATAGGACAAAAATACCATAAATAAAGTTAAAAAAGAGAGAAAACATATATAGTGGACACTGTGACATATTCACTGGAATAGACAGTGAAAAAATATATCTAAGAAAAAGCCAAATTACTCTATAGAGAAGTGAGCAAATGTATAAATAAGCAATACATAGATGAGGAAATAATAAAATAAGAATGACTAAATAAAAAAGATGGTTTTTCTGGATAAGATTAGCATCTGAAAAAATAAAAATAAAAAGGATGCTTAACAGTACTGATGACTGCTGGCATGCAAAGCAAAACAATGGAGAGAGCCATTTCCCACACACTGGCCAAAACTGAAGTTCGATAATACCAGTTTTGTGGTAAAGTGGATAGTCTTGGTAGAAGTATAAATCAGTATAGCTACCTGGGGTGGGGTGTGTGTGAAAATATTAAAATTAAATAAGTATCTTCAAAGTAATATTGATTACAATTAAAAACACTGCTTTAGACATTCTAATTTCACTTTTTCATATCTACAGATAAACAAGTATTCAAAAAGAGGTATACAAGGGTGGGTGCAGTGGCTCATGTCTATAATCCCTGTACTTTGGAAGGCTGAGGTAGGAGGATCACTTGAGACCAGGAATTTGAGACTGGCCTGGGCAACATAACAAGACCCTGTCTCTACAAAAAATTAAAAAATTAGCCAGGCGTGGTGGCGCGTGCCTGTATTCCCAGTTACTTGGGAGGCTGAGGCAAGAAGATCGCTTGAGCTCAGGAGTTCGGGAGGCTGCAGTGAGCTATGAATGCCACTGCACTCCAACTTGGGCAACAGAGTAAGACCTGGTCTCAACAAAAAAAGAAAAAAAATGCAAAATATTTAACTGGAAGCATTTTTTCATAATAGTTTAAAATTAGAAAAATGGAAATTTCAACAGAGAAACTATGGTAATAATTTACTCATTCACTAAACAAATATTTATTGATTGCTTACTAGGTACTAGGCATTATTCTGAGCATTGAGGATAAATTGACTATTTGTGAACTAAAGAAAGATGATAGAGTGAGTCAGGGGCTGACTAACCCTCCCCAGACCAGACTCTGCCCCTTAGTTCTTTGCTAGGTCTTTGATGGAATGATTTCAACCTCTTCTGTAAATAGCATTAGACTCCCATATAATCACAGCAGAGACAAAAGCTTTTAAAAATCAGCCCGGCACAGTGGTGCCTGCCTGTACTTCCAGCTACTGAGAAGGCTGAGACAGGAAGATTGCTTGAGCCCAGGAGTTCAATGCTGTAGTGCGCTGTGATTGTACCCGTAAGTAGCCACTGCACTCCAGCCTGGCAACATAGACCTGTCTCTTAAAAAAAATACTGGATTTGTCAGTAGGGAGCCTTCATGTGATCAAGGTGAGGAAGGAGAGGATGTAGACTTGAGTGCCAACTCTAGAATCACTTCCATAGCCACAAGGAAAGGTAAACACTATCTGACTCTCCCAATGTTCTGGCTTGAGCCACTAGGTTCCCTTAAAAGCTCGTTCATCCCCAGATTGCCCTGGCGGGGAGTAGGAAGAAGCAGGTCTTCAGGGAAGCTCTGGAAGGACCCTAAGCAGCAGGTTCTATTTAAAATTCTTTTTGCAAGCCCTGCCCTTGACATTACTACCACTTCTCTTACCAGTGGGCTCCCACTGAGTCATGGCTCCCAGCCCTAGCAGCTCAAAGCTTGGTACCACAGGAGGCAGCTCAGCAGGCCCTGGCAGACAATCTCTATCTGGGGATCAAGTACCTGGATGAGCAGTTTACCTGTGTCTAAGGGAGAGGCAGAGGGCTCAAAGCCTGGCACTCGGACACATTAATATATGTGATCCAGCAACTCCTGGGAATTAGGAATTATTAATTAGGAATTATTATTATTAATTACCATTTTACAGGTAAGGAAACTGATGTGCAGAGAGAATAACTTTTTTGAGGTCACATGGAAGTGCTTTTTGAATCTAGGTTTCAAAGTTTACCACCCAACCTCCCCTTCCTCCTGCCTGTGCCCCTAGGATTCCCAGTAAGAAATTTTCTAAGCTTGTGAAATGGTCAGATGCACACTTCCTACCCACAGAATCAGCTGTGGTACAGAGATTCAGCATGCATTGTCACTGGGCTAACGCTTATGTGACTCTTTCTTGTAGGCAAAGCAGTAGTAAGAGAATATTTGCTGAATATATTTATTTATTCTGGATATTTAATATATGTGAAATCATGTATTTGTCTGAGGGTTGAAGAGTTTCACTTGGCCACAAATATCAAACACGACACATTGCTAACTACTTAAGAATGAATTATAATCAAGAACCAAAGAAAAAAAATTCCCAACCATGACCCAGGTACCCTCAATTACTTGCTATTGTTAGAGAATCCTCAAACCAAATTTCTAAGAAAGGCCATACCTTTTAATGTGTATTAGTCAGAACTCACCTTGGGAGATTTTAAAATAAGGATCAGCTGGTACTTTAAATTATGCTAACTCAGGTGTACCTGTAGAGAATTTGCTTAAAGCCTGTTATTTTCTGAACGTTAAGCACATGACTCAGTAGAAAGAATATATATTTATTTAAGTTTCTTTATCTGCCTATGTAGAAACAATATAAACCTTAGGACCAGGAGAGTTGGGTTCCAGTCCTAACTCCTCCATTTATTATTAATAATTAGACACCTGGTGATAATTATCTTAATGAGTTTCCTCACAATAAAATGGGGATAACAAAAGTGTGGATTATATGAGATGAGACATGTGGAAATGCCTTGTAAATTGGTAGGTACCCCTCCTCCCACCATATTATTATTATTATTGTTACATATTTGACCTTGGCTAAGAAGAAAATGCGGAATGCTAATGTGTGAAGTCACTAGTCACACCAGTTACGCTTGACAGATTATGCTTACTTACTGGTAAATTGGTTGTTAAGAACTTGTCGTCCTGCTACTTCTTTTTTTTTTTTTTTTTTTGAGACAGTCTTACCCTGTTGCCCTGGGCTAGAGTGCCGTGGCGTCAGCCTTGCTCACAGCAACCTCAAACTCCTGGGCTCAAGCGATCCTCCTGCCTCAGCCTCCCGAGTAGCTGGGACTACAGGCATGCGCCACCATGCCTGGCTAATTTTTTCTATATATTTTTAGTTGTCCAGCCAATTTCTTTTTATTTTTTTAAGTAGAGACGGGGTCTCGCTCTTGCTCAGGCTGGTCTCAAACTCCTGACCTCGAGCGATCCTCCCACCTCAGCCTCCCAGAGTGCTGGGATTATAGGCATGAGCCACTGCGCCCGGCCTCCTTCTTTTCTTTTCTTTTTTTTTGAGACAAGGTCTCGCTTTGTACCCTGAGCTAGAGGACAATGGCACCATGATAGCTCACTGCAACCTCAAACTCAAATTCCTGGTTTCAAGCTATCTTCCTGCCTCGACCTCCCAAAGCGCTCGGATTACAGGCCTGAGCCACTGCGCCCAGCCCAGCTGTTTGTCCTGCTGCTTCTTGATGATCAAATTATCTTAATTAACTCTGGAGTTATTTGGAGTTAAAAAAAAATATTGAAAGAATTCAAGCTCTTCAAAGACTGCCAGTATAACTGGATTACACGTAATGGCCACTTTTTTTAATGGGAAAATGGTATTTTCTATAAGTTTGTAAATACTATACTCAACAATTGTTCAATGAAGTTATTTTTCTAGAAACTAATTGTTTAATGTTGTAGTCCTGAGGCCTAGAACAGTGTCTGCCATACAGCAGGCCCTCAATAATTATTTGTTGAATAAATCAATGAAAGTCTTTTTAATGGCTAGGAATTTATTCTAATATTGGGGGAAAAAAGAACCTATAAAGGAATGAAGCACATTCCAGGTTACTAGGCATAAGCAAGTAAATATACATACCTCACCTTTGGACAATAATCAACACTGATCTTGCAAAAACATTCCTAGGGAAGACTTTCATGATTGCCAAAGGTACTACAGTATTCCTAACTCCATTCAAGCTTCTGGCATGAAAATCATGGCTCTGTGTTACCTGTTTTCATTACACAAATTACGAGAAAACACTTTTT